TTAAGGATACTTAAAAATATATTGTTAGGTTCACTTTTTCAAAAATGCACTTACTAGTAGGTGGGTCTGAAAGGGGGAAAAAGGTTGAAGGAAAGACAGACAGACAGACAATCATATGGAGATCTTGCAAACGGACCTTGACTAGAGTCACTTACATTCAGCAGTAATAGCGAAGGGAGTGCAGAGACTTGAGAGGAGTCACCAGGTACTTGAACAGTTGAAAGAGGAGTTTTCATACAAGATTATTACTCAGAGCATGGTTTGAAATACACTTTGACTCTTGGGGGGGTCTGCAAAAAAATTTAACTGGTTCATCAATTTAAAAAGTCCACCTAAGTGGAAGGAGCAATCCAATCAGAGATGCCTGCAGGTTATGATTTTCAAATTTTACAGGGAGCCTCTCATCTTTTATGGGTTGGGGGTGGCTCAACCACCCCCTCTCGAGTTCCCCCTTAATTCATACCCTGGCTCAGGGTCCTCACATACAACAGCCTCCAAAAGTGTGCAACTGTTCCCATGTTTTGCTGATGACTTCCGCAGGGGAAGCCCGGGAGGTGGTGTTACCAAGCAGCATCAGCATGCTTAGCAGATTTTGTGTTTGCTTTAGATTGGCATAGGTGAGGATGTTTGCAATGCAGCTACTGCTGTTGTCACTGTTCACTTTGTTCTGACACTCCTGTCTTCAGCACTGAATTGCAAAACATTCATTACAAACTTATTTTTGCACGGCCATAGCTCTTGGATGTCCTCTGGGACAGGGAAGCAAGATTTTTCATTTGGGGTTTACAGAAACACTGCATCCAGAAATGGGCAGATTCTGGAGGCCTGAGACCCCATGCAAAGACTGGGGGTGGGGAGCGTGCGACTAGTTTGCCGAATAAATACTGTTGCTCTGGTATTTAGCTCCTGGCAGACTGGTACAGTAGCTAAGTGTTAGCTTGGAATGGTTTCATCCCCAACTAATCAATTTTTCTGTGCCCAAGTTTTCCTTCTGCAAAATGGCATTTCCTTAGCTTCCACGGACATTGGGAGGAAGACTACATTAGAACAGGGCTGTCCAAGCTCTAAGTGGCAGGGGACCACATGCCCCTTGAACCACACTAGCAGGGACTGCATGCCCCTCTGGACCCTACAACCCCATTGCACCGTGCATCCCAATGCCCCCCACTTCACCCTCCACCCCCTGCCCATGTGCCTGAGTGCCCTGACTCACTCTTAGCTGTCCAGCTATGAGCTGCCCCACAACCACGTGGACACAGAGTTGTGGGCTTCCAGGCGCTGCACCTCTCCATACCGTGGAGCAGGGGCAGGAAGGGAGGCTGGAGGCAGGGGAAATCTGGGCTGCAGTCAGAGCAATGGGGGGAAAGTGCTGCAATTTAACCCCTTGCACGTGGGCCACAGCTGGATGGTGCTCCATTAAAAGATTGAGATGCTTGGGTAATGGGACTATCTATATAAGTAGGTACCTAATTTTAAATGGGAAGCAAAAACCGAAGCACCGCCCAACAAGGTCATCTGCTTCCCTGGTACTTTACACAACAGAGACTATTGCATATTTTTATGCATCGCATAAAATGGCTCAGGCCTAGTAAATTCCCAAATCACTAGCCAACAGTTCTCCCATTTTTTTCTGCAAAAGACGCTACAGTGTATAATATAACCACAACTTTAAAAAATAAAAAGGGCATTGGCATTCTTTGGTAAAACTTAGTCTGAAAACTTATCCCAGGATGTGTGATCTTCCAAAAATCTGCCAACCCCTGCAGTGTTCAAACTTCTTGTATGACCACAGCCACATGAAGAATGAAATTAAACCCCATGGAAATCTTTGACATTTCTAGTATTATGCAATGCTTGGGTGAAAAAAAAATATTGCAGAAATTCTCATTCCCTTTCCAAAATGAGTTTAGCAAAACTATTTCTAGCTTTTTTTTAATTATCCATTTCACTATTGAAGAAAAAAAAAGCTGTCCATAAATTAAAGAACCACTAAATGGGGCTTATGTAACCCATTTATAACGGGAAATTGGTAACACTTGAGTGTGAAGTCTGTTACTGTAATTTCTGGAGCCTGCAGCTTTCATCTGATGTGTGCAAACATCACTAAACCTGTTTATTCAACATTTGCCTTAACTTTGTGTCACCAAAATATTTTTAATCTTGAAAGAGGTTACAACTTTGGAATGGAGTCCTAATAGAAAACTATAAACTTTTCTATATAAGGTTTTTTAACTGTCCTATAGAGAATTTTATCCCTGTAAAACTCACGTTTTCAAAGTTATAGATTATATTCTCTATTTCCAGCTTTGTTATTTTCTTGAGAATGTTAATTGTTCTATAAAACTGATAGAACCCTATTGATTTCATTCATATTCAATTTTATAGGCATTTCCCCTGGGGAGAATCCAAATATAAACTTCACTTTCTTTTTTTTCTTGCATAGAAGAGCTGTAACAGGCTGTCAATCTGAAAAACATTGCAGGGGCTGTGATACAGCAGCTATTTGCAGTCAACAGTTCAACATATGAAAACTTCTGAAGAAAAGGTTTGTCCCTAACAATCAACATATCGTTCACCCAAAAGCAGCCCTTTATTGCATAAATACTATTGAAGCTGTTACTCCAGCATGCATCTGGGTTAAGCGGGACCATCTTTCAGGGAATTACGCTGGTTCTGAGCAAGAGCAGGACTGGACCAAGGACCTGCCTGAAGCTAGGACTTATGAAACTGAATTTCCAAATAAGACTGAACGTATAAAGTCTTTGGGACAGTTGGGTACTCTGGGACTAACTGGTTCTAGAAAACACAACTGTAGCAGGCTACTTCAATACCAAAGCTCCACCTCGTGGCCAAAACTGTGAGGGTCACAATTTGGGGGACAGTCTACAGCAGTTTGGAGATACACCAGCACAAATAGTGGGGGAAATGGCACCTAGTAAACAGAGGTACATTAAGAAATATTTCTGAATCTCAATTCATGTCCTTTATAGAGCTATTCAGCACCATTCTGGAGGAATTAAATTAGGAGATAAGATTACCAACAGCTAAATTCTTTACTAGACTGTTTCTTGCAAATGCTGAAGTGGGTGGAAAAGTGACATTTCTCAAGTCAGAATATTTTTCTACTTTAGGAGATGAGCAAGTCAGCTAGAAAACCAAATGTATATAACAGAAAGATATTATAATTAAGTAACCGCTTCTACATTCAGTAAAAATATTCTATAATTTATCACGTTTATATTTCCGATGGAATTACATTTCAAAGCCTAACATACCCCATCTAGTCTATGTACCCTACCAATAACAACATCTTGGACTGATCAAGTCAGGATCAACTCAAGTGCACCATACAAAGATGTATATAAATAAAAGCATGATGTTGCATAAAATTTATTTTTTTCACCTGTTTTACATCATTCCCTTTTAGGTTCTTACATTTCTGCAACATAGAACTCACAGAACAATAAATACATTTTGCATTCATATTTCTCTTGAATCAAAGGTATTTGCATCGTATTTAGCTGGATGACAGGTACAAAACATCAGCATCACAATAAATATTTTGACATCAGAATTCATTTCTCCATACAAGTAAAAATGTTTTTGAAGGCATAAAAGTACATAAATTTTATTAGGCAATAATAATGGACCATATTGGCAAAGTTGTAGAACCCAGGATTTCATGCAAATTCAAGGCCTGATTTCATCACAACTGTTAAAAGGTCTGGTCCAACACACACTGAAGTCAATGGAAAAAATTCAGTAGGCATTGGATGGGCCACTAGATATGCTGTGTGCTGGCAGTTAGACTAACTATATGTGCAAATAGACCGTGATGGTAATTTGTGTGCAATGACCCAGTTTGTCTTAGCCCTGTGTGGACTCAGGACATTTGCTGCATCCAGCTGTGTGGCAGCCCTTTTGAAAAAGAAAAACCTCTCTCAGGTCTTACGGCTCAGATCTCATAGGAACCACAGGGATTCATGCACCCAATTTTATAAGGCTCCTTTGAAAATCCCAGCCCAAACTACTAATGCAGCAAGAATCTCCCACAGGAGTCACAAGGAGGTTTAGACAGCTTGCAATGAGATTCTATGATTATAGCAGTTTGGCAGAACATAGAAAAGCAGTGTTTGGTACTGCTCAGTTTAGCTCTGCAACAGCTGTAGCACTTAACATACTGTTTCCAGAACTGGAAGGACATTGATGATATCACTGCTTATTCACCAATATAATTTTGATGAGATAAGATGAAGAAGAGATAGGTTTACACTGTTACTGTTGAGCACACAGCATGCTAATTCCAGCCCTATTCTAAACAAAAGGAGCACAGATGTTTGCCGAGAGAAATAGGGCAGCTCCATTGTGTATATGGCTAAAAGGGTATAAGCAACGGAGTGGAAGACGCATTCAAAATGTACATCAATTAAAAAAAGAGGAAAAAAATCTAGAGGATAGCTGCACACCTTTAATTACCTCACCAATAAGAGGCATAGACTGTTTATATAACATAGGCTCCTGTGGTTACCGGCTATAAAGGGAACCGAGCACTGATCAGAGATCTTTCCAATGAAACCATGCTAAGCAAGAGCTTGTGATGCAACACATACTGTAACACTCTTTGTAGAATAGCCCTGTATCACAAAAGTTACATAAATTGCTATTGTACTTTACAAACGTAAAAACCACAGACATTATATGAAAAGGGTATTTTACTCCCACCACGTTCAAAATACAAAGCATAATAGAGGAAAAGATGCACTTTAAATTTCCAGTAAAGAATTAGTTTATTCAAATATGCAGTAAATATTAACATCTGTATTAAACTTTGTTTTTAAAAAACAGTTTAAAATAACTTAAGGGAAATCGTTTACAGACAAAGTGCTAAGCTTGAAAAAAATAATAATCATCATCACTCCTCCCAGCCTCTGCTGTTTGAAAGTGGCAGGTTTACTTTTCCCAAGTGCTTTAAAAATACAACTTATGCTGAATGAGGTTTTACTTTTCCCGATTGCTTTAAAAATACAACTTATGCTGAATGAGGAATACTTCCCAGCCAAATAAGTCTGCACAAGAAACTAGCTATTAAACAATATTAGCTTTCTGTGAGAATAGGTTTTGCTCATAATTATTTGTCAATATTGCTAAATGTGAATTTTATTTTTAAGGTTATAGTGCCAATAAACGTTATAAAAATAACAAATCACTATTTGTTGGCATAAGCTCCAATTTTGCTAATATGGTCCATTTAGTGTAAACTGCTTTGACTCCAGGAGACAGTGAATTCTACCATATATATGCTTCAAATAATTCACATACAGTAGCATGGCACTGTTAGTCTTGCAGGACATTTAACTACCGATATACATCTACTGGGGATAAGATTATTACAGAGATATATACTGTCATGTGTTTTCAACGGACAAGAGACTTGAATTGTCAGCCACACTAAACTGCTAAAAATAATTTCTTGATTATTACATTTAAATCTACTAAATAAGTACTGGTGGTCTGGGAATACTACAGCATTTGCAAGACTGACATTATCCAGTTACCGCAACAAGTCACAATTAGGACAACATTAAGAATCTTTTGGGTGAACAGGTATAATTTACAAAAAGCCAATAACCCAATTCTTCCACAAGAGGACTTTTTAGACATTGCATTTCCTCTCTGAGGTTTATGATATTAAAGCTGCCCTCCAAAACCCATGATAAATATCTACATTTAGAGTAGAATTTTTTTTTTGGAAAAAGTTTGTAAGGAGGCTCTAAGGTGAATTTTTAAAACAGAGTATGAAATGATTATGGCAGCTAGCTGATAGGCTTCTCAGTATTCTGCTTTTATGCAGTACCAGAGAAAAGACAAATCAAAACAATGTAGCACAAAAAAGCCACTGTTTTCCATTAAAAAGCATTTGCCATTCTTATTCCTTGTGGACCTTGAAACATAACACTCCAAACCAAGCATGCAGAAAGTAGACTATTGTAACCAGCAGTGCTGGAGACTGCATTTCCCATCTCGTACTGCCACCTAAATCCTTCATTTATACCCTAGCAAAATGGCCATACATAGAACCTACTGAACACCTACGACCTTGTATTTCCTTCCACAGCATGAAGGGGAGCAATGGAGTAGGGACGAAGGTGCAGAAGGGCCGTAAAACACATGGGAAGGGAAACAGAGCCAACAGTGCACGCTCCACACCTTTTTCTCTAAAGCCTGTTGTACTTCCTACAGCTTAGCTCAGTGGGGTGGCAGCACTACTGATCTGGAGAGGGTAATGCTGAACTGCTGTCTTACAAACCCAGTATGTTTCTCACTGAAGAACCAGCTTTTGCTCCATATACTTTGAGCCTCAGAGAAGCTGGCAGGGCTTGACAGATTAGCAAGGTACTAGCACGGCTCCTAAGAGAAGCAGGCTATTAGAAAGTTGGGGGACCCTGAAAGCATGCCAGATTCAGCAAGGGTTTACAGAGCCTTTGGCTCCACAGAACGGAAAGGTGGCAGCTCCTGACTCACACCCCCTTGGGAATGTCCCAGACACTGCTTTGACTTACACACATCTCCCCGGGGAAGCTGGCTCCCTCCAGAGTGATTTTCCACAGGCAGGGCTTTATGAGTTTTTGCAAAGTGTGTGCACACTTTTCACCCAAAGAACCTTGTCTGCCTGTGCACACTTTTCAGTCATTTATGCTGTGAAGTGAGTGGTATACATGCTATCCCCTCTCCTTGGGGTTTCCAGACTTGCTTCATGTGGTCCTTCGCTGGACCTGCATTTACCCACCCTACCTCTGGGGAGGTTTGCCAGGTTGTGCAGCACTTTCTGCAGAGAGACTGTGGACTTCATAGCAAAGTGAGCCAGTTACATACAGTAATACTACAGCTTTCTATAGCTGAAAATCAAAGACGGAGGTGTGGGTCACTGCAGACTAGCTCTCATTTTAAACACTGCTCCAATTTTGCATTCAGGTTTGTACACCAGAGAATTTTATTTATCATTTTAGTGCCTGTCAAAGCACCAAATTTGCAGCAATGGAAACAGAGCTTGGCAATCCTTCAAAAAGGTACAGCAGAGAGCGCGTGCCTGCTGCTCCCAAAGTGAACAGTCACCCAGACCTAGGGAGACTGCCTCTAGAGACAAGGGGGTGGGGGAGGTAGGATGTTCAGACTACTTGGATCACTCATTCCTGGCCTGTCTGCTTAGCTTACCAACAAGGGTGCCATTTAGTGCCAGCTTACTGTGGTGGTTTTTATGAAGTGGAGACACTGTTCCACTAGGAACGGGACAGACAGAGATCAAACAACTCACTTATTACAGACTAAACAGTATTAGATGAGAATGACTGTTACTAAAGCTGAGCCATGAATGACCCAAGGAGCCAGCAGCTGAAGGCTCCATTAGCTCCCTGCCATCTTCCTGAGACTTCCAAGCACACGCTCTTGTCTCCAGCTGCAATGAAGGCTTTTTGTAAATAAAACATGGGTCAAAAACCACCCCAAGTTAAAAAAAAAAATCATGCTAGACTGATGTGTAGAGCAAATATAGGTTGCATTGGCTCAACTTCTGCAAGCTCTCAAGACTTGTCTCCTCTTAGATAAGGTCCAGTTTTAAACCATTCCAATAGCAGTGGAACTTTTGCCTTTCTCTGTATGCGTCATGAACTGTGCGTGCGTGTGTGTGTGTGTGTGTGTGTGTGTGTGTGTGTGCGCGCGTGCACGCACGTGCAAATGCACACACGCCTAGGCTTATTTGCAGCTCATCTTTATTAATTCATCCTAACAGGAAACAGATTTTTATGCAACTGTGAGGAGTAGCAGCTCTGTGACCTTTCCTTTTGGTCTCCAAGGATTCAAGACATGTCTGCCACATTGCCTGCAGAATATTATGCGTCTCTTATCATACTGTCGACACATTTAAAAGCTGATCAGCTGCAAATTTCCTTCCAAAAGGCTTTGCTTTAATTTTAGTAATTTGCCTTTATAGTATAAGTATCCAGTATAGCTATTTGTATGTCACCAGTTCCTTTTACCAGGAAGCACAAAGGCTAAACAAAATGGAATTTTCCTTTTTTTTCAATAATCCTTCTCTGCGCATATGACTGGTTAGACACCGTCAAAACACACTGCATTCACTGAGTTCAGCTCTTTCATTTTCACTGAATTAAAAAAAGAAACAAAAAAACCCACACATGCTTGGCTAGGTTCAATTTTTCACTTATGGATAAATATCCTTAACTTTGGAGCCCTACACCTGGAACAGTCTGACTCCAACCTGTAGTCAGCTGCCAGAAAACAGCATAATCATCTATATGAAGGGAATCCCCATGAATTTCTTACCTGAACTGAGCAGATAAATAACAATATAAAACATAGTACAATGCAAGAAACCTCACAGACACTTAAAAAACCCAATTAAACTAAAAAAGGAGTTCACCACATATAAACAGTTATTTAGCAGCTTTCAGATACTTTGATCTTACGCATGAACAACTAATCATTGCAGTTACATGCATCTGACCCCAACTAAACAAAACAAAAAGTTACAAAAACTGAAGAAACTACCAAGTGCCTTCACCTTCACCCAAATACTCCATTTTCTGTTAGGTTTTACTTACTGCAGTTAAGTCTTTTTCATCAAAGCAGCACATAATGCCAGTTACTGCATGATCCTAATGCAATTATCAGTTGTAGTTGTTGTTAGAACAAATACGTGATTTTTTTTTGTCTCTCAGGAGTGTGCAAAACGCCTGCTTCCTAAGCAGATGAGCCCTATGAAGTGAGCTTTGAGTAGCTTGGGGGCGAGAATCTCCGTCTCAGGTACTTCAGGACGTAGAGGGGAAGGCAGCTCACCAGCGTGATGGCTGTGACCTTCCACAAGAACGACAAGGTAGCAATGAAGTAAACATCTGTAAGGACAAAGCACAGAGGCAATGGAGAAGGGCAACAAACTGAGTCTGAAGGGCTTTGTGGTGGGAGTCGCAAAGAGAAGCCCAAGTGAAAATAAATACAGCCTAGTACAGCTTCATTCTCCCCGCACACAAACCAGCGTTTTTGCTCACTACACTGCACTGACTCAAGCAATTTCTGCTTCCTGATCACATCTTGTGCTCTTCTCTCTCTTTCATGAAGGATATATAGCTTTCTCCACAAAACTCTGCTTACTGAATTGCACTAGGGATTTTTCTGGTGTGTGCAAGTATGGGTGTGCACTCTGTATGAAACACTGCAATCCTTCTATAACCAAATCAAGTAAGCTCACTTCCTGTACATGTTTTTTAGTTTGGGGAGTTCTCTTCCTCTAACTCGATAGTTTAAATTGTGTCAGTTCATTCAGAAGTATGTCTCATTTCCCCATGTATGCTATATGACATAACTGCAAATATATCCGTAACCGTTCAAAGTTCAGCTAGCATACTCTTGTTTGAGAGAGAGCCCTATATGGCATGGGGGCTTTGAACTAAGGAAACGAGAGGGCTATTTTATTCTGTAGCAATGTATCATTCTGAAAGGTTACCAGGCAAGTAGTGACATCTTCTGGTTCCTGACAGTATAATGAAACAAGCTGTAGGGATCTCATATTTGCAGCAGATCGACTTGCCCAAGAGAAATAAGAATTCCTCGCTCATTTTCCTTTAGCTTGGTAGACTAAGGGGACTGACTTACTATAAGGTGAATGAAAATATAAGCTCAGACCAAATGAGTTATGTTTTAATGAGCCTGTTACTACATTCACTGCCAAATGTGACCTTTCGCTCCAGCAGCAGAAGCTCATGATTTCAGGTTCAGCCATGTCATGTTCAACCCTCATAGGTAACCCAACCACAGCTATTGCTACACATGGTGACTCGTATAGGGATTTGAATTACTGTAGGGCTCAGATTCAGGATGAGATTTCCTGGGCAGTATGTAACCTAATAGCCAAATATGTCTGTCTCCCCTCCAAGTTTAAGCCACATATAAAAATTTGGGAACATGTTCCATTAGCAAATTCTCATCCAGAATCATCACTGAACTAGGTTTAGGTCAAAAACTCTGGAGTCCAATCCATGTCCTTATTGCTTCTGTTACTGTTAACTTGTTAAACATGTGTCTGCATAGGTTTAAAAAATAGACATTGTATTTAACCTTACCAATAAACTCATGTAAGAAGACCAGCGAGGCTATATAGCAGGAGAGGCTGAGCAACTCTGCCACTATCATAAGCCAATGCCATGTCTGGATTGTTAGTGCTACCATCAGCAACTCGGTGAGGATCAAAGATGTAAAGGAAATAGCAACGATGTGAACAAATTCAGATTCAAACAGCAGAAGTGCTCCATACATAATGATACTACCTGTAAGAGAGAGAAGAGAGGCGAGACAGATTGTTTTTTTCTAAATTATAAGACCAAACATCAATTTAAGTCCTGAAAGAGCAGAAACCCTTCAGGTCACTTAAGAATGCTTGAAATTGCTTTTCACAAATACTATTGAATACTCAGACAACAAATCAATCATTTATGACACAGCACTGAAAGTACTGCTCTACAATAAGGAAAAGATATAGTGCTCAATTTTTATAGAAGTCTGCCATAGTTACAGACATGGGGGTTGGAAATGGCATGTATTATTGTTATTATTCTGGCTACTTTTGCTACTGTTGACTGGACTATGATTGTGGAGCTCTATCTTCCCTTCCTTCCAGAAAAACAGCACAATCACTTCTCAAAAGGAAAGATAATACACATGAAACACTTCTAACTCCTACTGCACTGCCCCAATGTCCAGATGAAAACAAAAGATGCCATTAGTCTTTCTGCACTCCTTGGATTGAGTTCTTCTTTTGTAAATTCCCTTCTAAACTAGTACAAATTAAAGCATTGTTAACGATGCATTGTTTTGTGCCCCTAATCTGGCTGGTTTACATAATTCCCTGAACAGCCACCTGCACAAATAACTCATGTTAGCAGCATGAGTAATCTGCACCAACATCCATCACATTATTCTTGTTCAAGGGGAAAACCTGCAAGTGAATAGAGCCTGAGCCACAAAGTTCAGATCCAGCTGTGAACTTTCCAAAGTGTGGGGCCCTTGAAGGTTTGGGTCAGGCCCATCACTGCTAGCAACTAGTCCAAGTGTTTGGCCTGCTGTTTTTTAGTCATTTAACACATCAGAAGTGAAGTCACTTTAACCAAATATTGTAACCGGATAGCGGGCTCAGCTTAGAAAAAACTTTCCCTCAATGCATCACCCTCTGGCTTTGACTTTCCACCACTTGTGAATTTTCTATGAATGCCTTGGCTTTGCCATTATATTTATATAGCAACAGAAGACCATTATTCCTGCCATAGCATTCTACTGCATTAGATTCCAGAGGATAATGCTAATAGGAGGTTTTATATTCCTGGCTCCGCTCCTTATTTAAGGATGGTAACATCATTTAAATCAAAAGGAATTAACTGCTGATTTTGAACCATTTCTTCCCACTCTTGTGATAAAGGAGAGATATCAAATTTTGTCATTCTCATTCAGCACTATATGCACTTTCCATGAATCTGTGATTAAAAACAGAATAAATTGCTTGCATCTGCAGTGATTTCATTTCTGTTTGTTTGTTTTCTGTTAAAAGTGCTGAATTTTTAGGCTTATAATCCAGTATAAACCCCTATTTGGAACTAACACAGGGGACAAGAGGTGGTTTAGTTAATAGTTTCTCATAATGTGAAGACAGTGTCCAATTAGCCAAAACCCTACACTACCTTTTAATGACATAGCCAAGATTGTGGGTAAGCCCATCATATTACGCATGCTGTAACCAGAACTATGATCATTAGGGCCAATCGACAGCATTTTCATCCTCTTGTATACTATATGTTTATATAATTATTTGCATACTAGGGAGTTTCTTCTGTAGTTTTAAAAGATTTTTTCAAAGGAAATTTACCTCCATTTTACAGATGAGAACTGAAGCATAGAACAGACTTGCCCATAGCTACAAAGCACTAAATAGCTAAAAAGGAGAGAGCTGTCTTTCTTGAAGCCCATGCCCTTTCCTATCATAACAAAACACACTCAAAATATTGCCCACTTGTCGCAAACTTAAATTTAGGCAATTCCTTCCTTTAATATCCTATTCACTGTCATTGTTTCAGTGCAAGGAGTAGCTGCCTGCTTCATATTCTAGGGATCAGTTATTCAAGTAAATGATGTTCCTGATTTTCCACAGGACAGCTTTGCAATTTCTAATAGACATAGAGAAGCCAGAAGGGAAGTTTCAGTTTCTTACCTTGATAGATACTTATCAAGACCCATATTAAAAATGTTTTATAGGATAAAGGTCGTCCCTATAAAGAAAAAAAAAGCAAATAAACGCTATGAAAAACAAATTTATAAAGCAAGCATCAGACTACAATCTAAAATAGGTAGTCTACTGAATGATTGAATAGGGAAGAATAACCTGAAAAAGAGACTTTTCTTTAAAGGTGCATAAAGAAGACTTAAAATCATAAATATACCAGAAAGACATAAGTGCAGTGAAAACAGCATAATCCACCCTTCAGTGTGCTGAAATAACAGTGTCTACAAAGCTGTTCTACCTGTTTCCTTGGGGGAATGGGAATAACCTGTATCAGGATAAGGTATGTTTGGCTATACCAGTATAGCTTCATCCCACTAAGAGTAATAGATATAGCTAAATCTGCACAACAGTCTCAATACAAAGACTGTGTAACCCAGGCCTAAGGATGGTTAGAGAATTAGTGGTTTTATAACATCAGAGAAAACATGCAAGTGAAACCAGATGGCAACGTATTTGGACCGATGGAAAATGTGTTTGCCTCTGAAAGCATCTAACAGAAATACTTAGGGAAAAGGTTGTCTCTTTAAAGAGTCAGCCCACCCTGCCTTTCTACTGAGAAACATGTTCCCAGTCCACATACCTAAGTTATTCCAAGAATTTTGGGGGATGGGGTGGAGCAGAGAGAGGGCAGAAAAGATGACCAAGGATTAAGTCAGGGCATTCCTGATATTTCAAAAGGTTAATTTTTTTTTTTTTTTAAATCACACAGAATTCTCAGTTTTTAAAAAGAAAAAACCCAAACTCTCCCGGGCCTTCTGTACATATTGAGCACCAGAAAAGTATCTTTTTCCCCTCTTAGGCTATGCCATCTTTAAAGCAAATCTCCCTGAAAGAAACCATGTGACCACTTTTCCCCATCTCCCAGCATACAGATCATAAGCAGTACAACTGACCCAAAAGTTTGACAGAACCGTTTTCAGTTGTAAAAATGAAGGTACTACAAAATTGAAACAGTTCACAAAAATGTGGAATTCAGCAAAATTTTTCAGTGGAAAGGAGGCAATAGTAATTTCCTGCCAATTCTGTGTCCCTGTCCATTTCTCCCTGCCCTTCCCCGCCACTGCCTCCTGGCTTCCACGTGCCAAGTCCCTGCCAGCTTCTCCTCCTCCTCTATTTTGGAACAAAAGAAAATATCAAACATTCAGAATCTCCCACAGGATGGAAATTCTGTTTTCCAGCCAGTTCTAATAAGCTGCTGAATGTTAAATAAAACACAACAAGCTGTGAGGAAATAAAATTAGGGTTGTAAACTGAATTTTGCTTCTTAACAACTGTGCTTTAAAAAGGCATCTGGTAAAATACAGCATCTATAGATAATACTTTTGGTTTGTCTCTTGCAAAGCCTGTTCCAAATCAAGGCAAGGATCATGCATAAGACAGACTGAAGAGAAACCGGCATCTGTCAAACCTTAAGAAGATCTTTATAGAGTTCGGGGTACAACATGGCAACTTCAGATTTAACATCCTTGTCCAGAACTAGCGAGAACACTGGAAACATCGTATAGATTGTGGAGTACCTGAGGAAGAGACAGGAGATTTGAGCTACAAAATGGAAATACCTGGTGCTCTATAACTCTCAAATAAATATTCACGGTATAAACTTGCACATGGTACATTCTAGTCTCCTACGTACAGCAAAAGAACTGTAACATTTACTTCTTTACCAGCTTGAATACGGTTCCTAGTCAGATGGATGGAAGCTGCAGGAACTGTAACTGATGTTATACATTTACCAGTAGAGGCCCAACTCCCTTTAGAGATGGAAGTATTTCAATATTAGATTCAATCATGCAATTCAGCTTGGAAAGCTGTGTCATATATTTTTACATTTATCCAAGAGCCTGTACAAATGTACTTTGTAAGTACAACAGTGGCATATTTTATACAAGCAATTTAGGCATTACAGTGATTCTAGACTGCACCTCTAAGGAGAACAGCACAGAATTCATAGCTAGGGGTGGATTAAGGTGACTTCAAGCCAACTTTATGTCCTCTTCATTTTGGTCTGTTAAGGAGGATGAAGCAACCCTTGGGCTAACCTCCCTTCTGGGTGTTAGTACCACTCCGAATCTCCAAAGCACTGGGTGCTATAGACCCTTCCCAGTCATGCCTTGTGCGTTGGGGATCTCTAGGAGGTTGCTGGAAGAGAGACTACAGATGATTTCCTTAATTCCTGAGCCAAGTGGTGAATTTTCCTCCCAGGTCCAGGGATTTGAGATCCCCTCTTTACATTGGCAGACCCTTTCACTCTGTGTAAAAGGGACTAAAACAGGATGAGAATTTTACATCATTTTCTGAAAATGTGACCCTACATATGAGAAGTGGCATGTGCACTAGGAAGCTACACTTCAAACGGAGACATGTATATGCCAGGAAGACCTCTCACATGCATCTACACCTTGTTTAAGTTTCTCACATCACTTCCTGAACAGATTTGTTCTTACCCGATAATGAGAAAGCCCTGGTAGAGAGGGACTGAAGCGAAGTAAAACACTGAGGAGAAAACAGCCTAGGGAAGAAAAGAAAAGGATTCTCAGCCTCTAGAAATTACATTACAAGTTAGACTCTATCCAAACTGGAAAACACTTGCAATAGGTATTCGCCATTCACAAAATGAAGGCACAACCGTGGCCACACATTCTTACCTTGCCCTGCACCTGTGCTCTCAAACATACTGCACAGCTGAGTAACTGTACCAATCAGCCATTCCTGCCTCCACATGGAAAGACCTAAACTGTTTTGGGTAAGGGATGTAGTGCATGCAGAGCAGCATGGCTGGTTGGTTGCTGCCAGGCAGATTAAAGTTGCAGTCCAGTTATTCATGGCCATGGCTTATCATAGGGCTGTCCAACTGGTGGCCTGCGTGTGGCTCACAAGGGGTTCATCTTCCATCGAGCTACCATCCTCCCTACAGGGGCATTCCCTCCCTCCGCCTGCCCCAGGGAGCAGAGTGGCATACATGACATGGTGCGGTTGGGGAGCCTGCAGCTCCTGATTGGGAGGGAGGTAGAGGCTGTACTGTGTATCTGTGAGGATCCTGTTCTGAAGAGATCACACAGGGAAGTACAGGGAAACCATCTTAATTAACAATAACTAACTACCCTTAACATTAAGCAGAACAGCAAGCAGCAACACAATGCAGTTTGGGCAGTGCCCTCTGCATACAACATATATAGAGACACTCAATACACAACACCCCATCCCCAACAATGTAGTCCTGTAGGTATTTGGGCCAGACAACAACCTGTTCTTGTGTGGCCCACTTCAGGGGTAGCAGACACTTCACTGGCCGCAGCAGTAGGCTCCTTTGGTTGTTCTAGAGTAGCTTCAGCAATTGGAAGTGGTGATGGGTCCAAACCAGCAGCTGATGGACTCATCAGAACTGTTCCTACTAGCGGTGCAACACCCGGTGTTGCAGAGGTCGCACTGTCTGGTCAACATGCCTGTGAAGTGTCTTTCTATTCAGAGCCTGGATCTTGTATGATACTGACTCTGTAGCTCCAAGGACAAATGCAGGCACACACTAAGGCCCAGTCATGTCGTTCTGGATGTTCACAGGTTCATCTGGTTCGAAGGTTCTTACAGGTGAAATATTCTGTTTCTTGAAGCACTAGATTTCTTGCCTTGTCTGGTATTTGGCTACCATTTCTGGATGGAGCCACTCCAAATAAGTTTGTGGCTGGTGGCTCATTAGTATTTCTGCAGGACTATGACCTGTAGCAGTACACAGAGCTACATGCTGTGGTAATAAGAAATTAGCTAACAGTTGGTTCTGTGCACCTTCAACAATTTGCTTCAATGCATCTTTAGTAGTTTGGACCATCCACTCGGTTTGACTATTTGATGATGCGTCAATGGTCCAGATATGGCGACGGAGAAGATTCCTCTCCATAAACTTCTTAGAGTTCTTCAGAAGTGAACTATGCAGTATTGTCAGGCAATGGTATCTAGCAGATCATGAGCTGCAAACAGATGCTGTAGAACTAGTATTACAGTGTGTGACATCACTAATGCAACAGAAATAACTTCCAACTGCTTTGAGAAAGAATCAGCAACAATAATGAATATGTGGCGTTGGAAAGGGCCAGCAAAATCTATGTGCAGATGAGACCATAGGGTTCTCATCTGCGTTAACTAAGGTTGGTGCATAGCATGTAGCCTAGCATGGTTCACACCTCTTTTCTGCTTGCTCAATGTCAGCATCTAACTTTCGCCAACAAACATAACTTCTGGCAACTGCTTTCCTGTAATCTGGACATCCCGTATGAAGAGTCGAGAACTTATGTTCGACCTGCATTGCGAATGACTACTCAGTTTCCCCAGAGGAGGCATCCCATAAGGACAGAAAGTTCATGTTGACATGTAATGAATGGCTTGAATTCATCTGCAACCTTTGTTGAAGACCACCCCCTTTACACCAGGTTTAGTACTTGAGGTAAGAGTGATCCTTAGCAGTCACATGAGTAATGTCATCTGCCTGGAGAGGTGTTTCGGATGAGGATTCTGGCATCAGAACTTCAGTGAAAGAAACAGTGAATTCAGGACAGGACAACAGCAAACGACTCAGTGCATCTGCATTTGCTGTCAACTTCCCAGACTGGTAGTGAAATTTGCGGTCATATGCATTGAAAAGTAAGGACCAACAAAGCATACATGGTGAAATGATCTGGGGTGCTGGTCCAGTCTTGGTGAATAACCCTAGCAATTGGTTATGATCTGTTACAACTGTGAATTTGCAGCCATATATGCAATCAAGGAATTTCCTAACCTCAGCAGTGACTGCAAGAGCTTCCCTATCAATGTGAACATAATTCATCTCAGTTTTATTTATAATTCTGTTATATATAGTTCATGAATAGTAGGCAGTAGGAGTTTTGCGTCCATCACTCTGAAGGTGACTAAGGACAGCCCTCACTCCATTATGATGAAGCACTGCAAGTAAGCAAAAGTGGCTTCTCCATGTCATAATGGACTAGTGTGCTGTCAGACAGCAACTGCTTCATGTCATTGAAAGCCTTGTTGTGCAGTTTAGTCCATTTGCGGGTGGCATCTTTATCCAATAGCCCAGTGGTGCTCAACCTTTTTGTCTGGCAGGCCAGATGGGCAGGGCCCAGGCCGTTCATGGGCTGGATCCAGCTAATGGTCCTGATCCAACACAGGACAGTTGCAACAAGGCCCCATCCAGCATTGGAAATATGGCACAATTACTTCTCACAGTCAGACAACTAATTCTGGCATGGACCCTACTCCCATGAGGACATCATCAAAATATGGCACTACTCCTTTAAGACCTGCATCTGGTTTACTGCTGGAATCTGGTATGGGTGGTTCTGTAGTACTTTATTAATAGTAAACTTGTAGTCAGTACATAATCTAATATCACTGTTTGGCTTCATGATAAGTGCAATGAAAGTGGTCCACATTGGATTTAAAAGTCGCTTCTAGGACACCTTGTTCCATAAATCGATCAATCTCTGCATCAATTTTTGGACAAAGGGTGAAGGCAACATGATGAGGCTTCATACAAACTGGAGCCACAGTTGGAGCCAATGTAAATGACAGAGACTGGCCCTTATACGCACCAAGCTATTCAAAGACTTTGCTGAAATCCCTTAGGACATCATAAAGCTGTGAACTCAATCCCAATGGCTCAAACCATTCTCCTCCTAGTAAACTTCTTCTCCAGCCTTTGGCAATTATTAGATGGAGGACCCCTCGGTCCTGCCCATAGTGAATGTTGACACAACACACCCTGATTGCTTGTTTGGTACAATCTACAAGCTTGGCTTTACATGGCATAAGAAGTGGACGATTTCTAGGCTATGATGAGTTGTACACCTGGCACTGGTACAGGATTCCTAGGTTTGCATTATTGTGGCCCCAATTGTGTGGGGTGCAGCCCCCAGCCGCTGAGAAGTTGCATAGCCCTGAAACTTTTCTTTAGTTCCCTTTGCTCCTCCACAAATCTCACATGAAACAGGTTGAATGGCAAAGTGGAGAACTGAACGTGGTGAATCTTTTGTAATACTGTGCCACAAAAATGAGGTTGGAGTTTCATACAAAGCCCATTGATTTTGCTAAAATCATCCAGCTGTCTTGAGGGACACATGCTTAGGCAGGTATGAACAACACTGAAGAAAGTTTCACAGTACTTACTGATGGACGCTCCAATTTGCAATGCCATTCAGATTAATTTCTGGTCAATGACAAAACTACCACATGGGATTTTTTTCCATTTTCATGAGAAGGATTAAGTCTTCAGCACTGAGCTAACCCACACATGGGTCTAGGTTTTAAACCAGGGGTGGGCAAAATGCGGCCCGTGGGCTGGATGTGGCCTGCCAGGCCATTCTATCTGGCCTGCGGGGCCCCTAAAAAAATTAGAAAATGAGTATTTATCTGCCCCTGGCTGCCTGTCATGAGGCCCTTGATGGCCTGTCATGAGGCCCTTGATGGCCTGCCAAAACTCAGTAAGCAGCTCTCCACCCAAAATAATTGCCCACCTCTGCTTTAAACCCTCTAGACAAGGGAGGACGCTTGCATTTTTCTGAAAAATCTTGTACGTTTAAAAGAGATGCATCTGTCAGCCATATTATAGCTTGGAAAAAAACTTCCAAAGAGCAACCTCATCTCTCAGATGTATCCAAGTATCTTTTACCTCAAGTCCACAACAGCTGCAAATACATAGTTGAGGACAGAATTTGGCTCATGCACTCTTAAGTTTCTTTAAATTCTCTCAGTCAAAACTAACCTATTGTTTTTAATCAACTGGCAATGGTAATCTGGCTAGCTGAATATTACAGCTCTGCAGACATATTTAGTGCCTGAAAACTGGTGAAAACAAATTGATCACCAACAACCCAATTCTGGTTCCAATGAAGTCCGTGCCAATCAAATCCTGGGACTCTAGGAATTGGCTGACCAGTGAGGTTTATGGATGCTTCAGCTTCTGAGTCAGCTCCAGGGGCTGAGCTTATTCTTGTCCCACTTCAGGACAGACTGAGCACCCCATTCAGCAACTTGCCTCGCTTGAGACTTGTGAGCAATCCTATTTAGTTCAGCTGAGCTACTTGTGCTTTTTGTTACATACACACTCCAAGTCAGTTACTGAACAGGGTCAGTTTAATAAATTCAATATTCTGCAGTATTTCTGTGAACTGCTTGGCTATTTTTGATGCAAACTTTCATGCCCAAAGGTAATTAAACTAACTGCAATCCTAGATGACTTTGAATTTAAGACAAATGGCTCCCCAATAATTATATTCTATATGTGGAAAATTTACAATGTTTAAAAATGATTTTCCACATATAGAATCTATATATTTGAAGGTCATCTTAAATTTGTCCCCGCCATTGCTATAATGGGGAAAGCGGGGGTGGGGGGGCAAAGGGGAGTCATCACTGCTGCTTCTGGGCCAGCCAGGGCTCAGAACCAGTATGTGCTCCATGCTTCAGGCTGGAGCCAGACCCAAAGCCACAACCTGGGGTAAGCAGTAGCTGTAGGAGGGGATGGGGAGGGAGTAGGGGGCAGATTGGCAGAGGGTAGATGCAGGGCAGTGGCTGTAGCCCCGACTCTGAGCCCAGGTAGGGGCCAGAGATAAAGCCAGAGGCCTGGCAGCCATCTATCCCCTCCACCCCACTTCCCCCCCTCGCTATACTTAAATCCAAGACAAGGGACTTTCTTCACCATGTTCAATGGGGGGAAAAATCTTGTCTTGGATTCAAAGAAATATGGTAGTATCTTGAAAATCCTGCTGCCTTTTGTCCAAAATCAGAAACACATTTACATGAAAGCAAGATACTTCTTGTAAAAGAGCAATCCTGTTTTCACTAACATTCTCAAGGGAGCTGGGGCCAAAATGTGAAAACCTTCATTTTTTAACTTTGTATATTCTTATCACTCCCCACCCGCTATCACACACAAAGTACAAGCCAAGATGAAAAGTCCACATACCTGCATTGTACTGATACACAAGCTCCTGTGGATCACAAATTGACTGAGAGCTGCAGATCTTTTGTAACTGTTTCTTCCATGCACCATGAGTAACCGGCCCAAGTGCTTAAACTGAGTGACAGAGAAATCTGCTGCCAGGGATGCTTGTTTTCCTTCCTTTGTACAAGATAAGTCAAAGAACATGAGATCACAAAATTACAGAAGAATAAGACATGCCGTGTGTGTTAATACATTTCATGTGGATGGTTAAAAACAAAAACCCAGGCATAGGCACAGCTGTAGAACTCAGAGGTCATTTAAGTATTAGGTAAGAAAAAGGCATTATCTTAGTATTTACAATTCTTCTTTCAGTCCCCAACTTTCTCTCATGATCATTAAGCGAAGAATTAGAATATGAAGGTATTTCTTCTTTGTTATTAAACCCAGAAACCAGATTGTGAATTAGGGTTCCCAGGCTGCAAATTAAACTTTCTCTGAGTTTATCATATCATGTGCATTATAAAATTCTATACCGCTAACATATCTGCTACCAGGACAACAACCATTCAAATGAGAGGATGTAGATGGAAAGGGTACCAAACTAGCCATGAGAGATACTGAGATGTGTCTCTATCATTATTAGCCCAACTACTGAATTTTAAATGTTCTGGATCAAAAGACTGCTTCAGGGAAAGGCTTCAACACAAGCTGTATCAGCTCTGAGGGATGTTTCATACTCACCTTTCCTTCAACCCCAACACCACAGTCAGCCTCCTGAATCATACTGACATCATTTCCTCCATCACCTGTAGGTTAAATCATGGAAACAAGGGCAAAGTTTAGAAAGAGTCACCTGCAATTGGTATTGAGCACAGCTGAATTCATAGATGTAAGGGCCAGAATGGACATCAACCACGTGGAAAAGAAAAGTCAGCAGGGCTCCCACGGTGTCAAAGGCGTAACAACACAGTTGGATGCTCCAGGGCAACTCTGACATGGTGGCAGGTGGCAATTTCTGGCTGTTGTCACGCCATTGACACAATTGTGTGGCTTCAGCAGCAATGATCCCTCATCCTCTTTCTCATCTTCTGTCCCTCCCACTCCCCAAGTCGGGGTTGAGGGTGACTGCCCTGGTTGCCCCATCCCAGTTATGCTACTGCCCAATATTACGGGAAACTGAGTACCCAAATACCATAGATAGATTTCATAGATTTCCAGGAGTTTAAGGCCAGAAGTGACCATCAGATCAAATTCACCTCCTGTACAATGCAGGACACAGTGTTTCCTCCAAAGTACTGAACCAACATTAGTAGCCTAGCACAGAAGTAGAGCTTCATGATGCTATTTTTCCCCCAGTTACAATCTGAATGCTTCATTTCGGAAGGTCATACCCCAATGTTTGTGAAGTTTAATTTCTGTAACCTTTTTCTGTACTGAAATTTTAGTATGAAAAGTTTCAGCTTGCTCATTATTCTGCAAATACTTGGTTTTCATCTGCTACTTCTTATTACCACAGTAACTTAGAAAGTGTCACTGGATGCTGTGCAACATTCCCACTTGTTATATATGAAATGGTTGTTAAGTCATAAAGCAGAGGAACTGCCATACCATGTTACACTAGATGTAGTTCAGCATCCTGTCTCAGCTACAGGCCAATATTTGATTTCACAGAAAGTGCAAGAATAAGTGAACAACTACGTGATAAAAAGTGAACTTCTCCCCTTACCTCAACACTTAAATTGTAACCTAAAACCTAGATCATGCTAAACAAGCAACCTGTATCTATGTAGCCATGAGTGTTCTTATCCATATTCATCTTGTATCCTTTTCTGAATCCTAGTAGGCTCTTGATTTCAACACATACTGAAATGAACTCCACAAACTAATTACGCACTGTGCAAAAATATTTCAGGTTTGTATTGTACTTCTGAATCTTTCTACGCACATATGTTCATTTGCACAAATCCTCTAAAACTGAAGGGACAGTGGGCTTGTAAATAGATATCTGACACTGGGCATTTATTCTGCTGAACAGTTCACAGAAAAGTATAGCTGGTCTTGTCCTTGTTATGTGTACAGCACTGGCCTCATGGGCAGTACCAGAAAGAAATCTCTTATGAAGAACTATGGTTTTAAGTACTCACTTTATCAAAATTATTTCTAGGGAAAATGAAGCTAAGAATGAGACCGAGTCTCCGAGGCTGTGATGATGATGCCATTGGTTTCAGAGTTTCTCAAGTTCCCTACCTACTGCACAGGTCAGTTTGCCAGTTCTTTCTTGGAGCAAGCGCACAATCTGGGCCTTCTGCGTTGGGGCGCATCGGCAGCAGACCACTGCTGGACACTGACAAGCCAACTCCATAAACTCATACTCATAGTATTTCAGACACACCTGTTGAAGAGGAGAAAAAAGTTTCAGAGACGATTATGCTTCATATAGTTCTCCACATTGTGTCAAACGCATAGTATCCTTGGACCTTTATACAGCAGTCTGGAGTTTACCTCTAATGAGTCACCAGAAATCACAAGCGCGCAGTCGTGCTTCCGACGGAACGCATTCAGCTCTAAGTGGGCTTCTCCACGGTTGGTCACCTGCAAATGAGCACAGCAGCTGAGTGAACGCGTGGCTGGCAAGAACAAAATTAAATAAAAAAAACCCTTCAACACTTATACAGAATTATTGGCATATCAATTAAGTTATCAACCAAACCAAACAATTAACAGAGTAAACTTAAGGCCTAAAACCTTAGGAAAGCAGCAAAGCATTATCTCCGGCATCACCAGTGACCTGCCCACTATCACTCTTCTCTTCTCTGAGCTTATTTACTTCCTGGTATGTTGGCTATTCAAGGCTCTTTGTGATGCCAAACCAAGAAGGTAACATGACAGGGGACTTCACTATTTCACTATTTCATACGGCAGATGCGGGATCCCTGCCAGCTCCATATAAATCAACAGAGGAAGCTCTCCCACCAACTTCAGTGGGTGCAGGATTAGACTCACTGGAAGCACTGGGACAGTTCTGTATCCTGCTTATACTAAATCATTAGCCAGGAATTCCTTGAATAGGACACAGAAGGAACGGATGCGATTCCAAACTGGAAGTTAAAAAAGGCCTATGAAGATGCCCCATTATTGTCTGCCTGCAGGTTGGATTTCGTCATTCTATTCCTTCTGAACCACCTGAACAAGACTAGTGAGAGGGGTTAATATCAATCATAGTACATGAGTATGTGTTACCTACCAGTCTGAATATGTGAATATCCTGGGTCCTGGTTACCAAATGTGCATTCTTTGCTGTACATGTAGCTGTTTCTAGCTTATCCCCTGTCAGCATCCACACCTGAAATGCAAATATTCTTATTATACTTTAATAAAATACCTAAGAAAACTCATCTTTGTAGGGCTCTTTTAGGAAAAGTGGTGCTTGCTGCATGCATATACAAAAAGACCACACTCCAGTGTAGCCCATATATGGTAGATACCTTTTCATAAGGAAGGCCAGTTTACAAAGCACAGGAAAATCCTTATCTCACAAGGAAATGAAGGCGTTTGGGGGGGGGGGGGGGGGGGGGGGGGAAAAAGCATCATGCCTGCTTGCCTTTGCATCAGCAGCCAAAAAGCTTCAATAGGCAGCAGGTTACAAGATCTGCACAATAGTTTTCCACCTTCTGTTTCAAAACTCTGTTGCTACAACCTGAAAACAAATTGGTGAGGTAGACTCTGCAAAAATGCCCTCACCCCGACTCATTTTTGTGCAGAAATCTCCAGCCCTTGCTGCAAATAGATGCTGCAAGGCCCTGCCTGAAATGTGGATGATGCAACGGGGTGAGCTCATTGCTGATGTATGTGTCTGGAACAAACGAAACACAAAACGAAATGCACGGCATATAGGAAAACAATTCAGCCACTTATAGAGGACATTAGAAAGCAGCGTCACCAACAGTAGTGACCTATATTTGCTGTAAATTGACAGGGAATTTCTTTGCTAATGTATCGGTCTAGAGTATTAACCATTTATTTTATTTACGTGAGGCTTTCCTCAATTAGACTTCATATTTTGGACTTCAAATATGGGATCAAACTTCTTAAAAAAAAAAAAATATTCACTTGTATGTTTTGATCCTAAAATGAGTTTAAAGTGACTTTACTATAATTAGTAAGATAATGAAGTGGCTCCAGGATGAATTACAAAACTGCCTTTAATACTGGTTCTCTGCTGACATGTCGTATCTCAATAAACATTTCCAGTAAAATGACTACTGTGAATTGCAGCACTGTATATGCATTCACTAACAGGGCTATCTATTCAGCATCTATCTAACCCAGTTAAAAGTAAAAAACAAACTTTTGGAGTAAATAGCCAAGACTAAATTTAGTTTAAAAAAAAAATCAAAGTATTGCCATGGAAACTACTGGAACTGAATTCTGTTTGCGTGACCTATTCACTAACATGCACAAAATCATGTTATTAATAGAGACGGTGCCAAATTAAAAGCATTTATTGAGACCTCTCCAAGTTTTGGGGGTCCAAGTGCAAGGAACTTGAAATAGCCTTGCTTCTGTACAGATTAAGATTTCATCCCGTTTTCCTTTTAAAACAGAGCAGCCAGAACAGGAAGCTTTTATTCAAGTCCCTCCTTGTAGAAGTCTAGGTGATAAGGTCCTAATTCCCCTCAATTTCCATGTTGTACTCCCAAACCTAAGGACAAAGTTCTGGAGCAAACCAGAATCATCTCCTTTTTTGTCCATCTAGTACAAGATACCAGATTAAGGAGAGGGACAGAACCAGAAAGCAGAAAATAGATATTTTGTACCATTATTCTTTTGGTTCAGACTCCCTCTGGTGGTTTTTTATAGACTTAAGGATTTATGTTTGCATGCTTAAATCTTGCTGCACAAAATCCTACTAATGAGCAGGGATCTTGGTTTTCCTTTATAAAAAATTGCAAATTCTCTGATAAAACCCCCCAAATCTATGGTTAAAATGAAAGGCCCTCCACAGACTGCCTGGCCCTGCTAGTTCCCCTCACTCTTCCTCCTATAGCACCCCCCAGTCCTGCTGGTACCCCCTGCCCTGCCACCCACAGCCCCTGCCCCCCTCAGCTGCCAAGGCTATGGGGCCAGGGACTTGGGTCCGCAGCCCCCTGCCCCTAGGAGATGGTGGCTGCTGCAGTGGAGTGGAGCCTGGCACCCCCCCCCCCTGCGTGCATTCACATGGGGGCAGGGTTGACCCATGCCTTGCAGATCTGTGCATGGGCTGGGTACACGCTATGGGCTGATGACTTGGGCTCCTGTCCTGCTGCCTTCCTGCAGGGTCTCTGCAGCCCAACAGGTATGACCTGGTGCTGCAGGGTACAGCAGGGTTGCGCAGGAAAGCTGCTTCCCACTGTAAGCCCTAAGCTGCTCTTGTGACGCATCCCCTGTGTGCGTGGCAGCAATGAGGGGCACAACCCCGCACTGCCAACCCTGCTGCTTCTGCGTGAGCAGGGGATGCATGGCAAGGGCAGCACAGAACTCGAAGCGGCAAGGAGATTCCTGTGCGGCCCTGCTGTCCCCTGCGGTGCTGGGTCACACTCGCTGGGCTGGGGGAGGGCAACAGAGAGGGAGCCCAAGCCTGCAGTGGGGAGCCCACCCTGCCCCCATCTCATGCACAGATCTGGGGGGCACGGGTCCCCCTTTTCCCCCCGGGAATGTGTGCATCAGTGGGGAGGCAGCCCCACCCGATCCGTCCCCCCGGACAAGCTGCCTGCGGCCCCATCCCACTCCTTGCCAGGGCCCTGCAGCCACTCACTGTAGCCCTGGGCACCAAGCCCCATGCACCGCTCGGCTGGGCAGCATTCCCAGCCCTGCCCAGCTCCCTCCCTCCCTTCCTACAGGGTCCTGAATCCCTCCCTGCCCACTTACCTGCCAGAGCTGCTCTCCAGGCTGCCTGGCAGCAATGTGCATGTACATGCACATGCACATGTATATGGTGACCCCTGCCTGACCACCCTCCTCCCGCTCCCTCCCTAGCCCCCTGCAGGAAGTCTGCCAGCCTGCCGGGAGCTATTTGCAAAACTGCAAAATCCACGGATTTCTCTACTAAAATAAGAAATCTGCGTTTTCCTCCAGTAAAGGGGGCAATCCACATTTTACTCCATTTTTCCATAGGAAATGGAAAACCTGGATTCCTCCTAATGACAATCTGGATGCCAGAAAACAAAGAGAATATTGCAGAATTAACTTTAACAGGTTTTTTGCTTCATGTAGTCATCTTAAAGTCTAGCAACTCCCTAAATGTTTCTCACATAAATTATATTTGACCTCTGTACTTGGCTTTTTTGTATATTAAATACGCTGTTTTTCAATGTTTTCACGGTTTCTTGTAATCAGTCATTGCTTGACACCTACAGGGCTTTACGTGTTTGCTGCACAAACTTACATTATGCAACACAGATGACTCACATTCTGAAGTCCTGTTGAATATCCACTACACAGTAATATTAGATTATAAGGATTTTTCTGGCCTGCATGTTACACAAAGAGTTGCTTGCTTTTGTCTGTAGACATTGGGGCAGGGAGAGAAATCAAACACCAGCTTGGATTTCAAGCAATGCCACCACTCACAAAAAGTGCTGGCATCAAGCTTCACTGAGGCTCAGAAATCATATATATGGGTTATTATTTACAAGATAGTCTCATTTACTCCAAAGGTGCCTGGCTTTCATCACCACTTGCACTGCCAGTCAAGCAAAAGTTCTGTACTCCATTTCTAGGTTAGCCAAACCTTAATGCCAGCATTTCTTAGGGTTTCCAGGGTGGGTCTGACATCTGTCTGAAGCTGATCCTCCACTCCAGTCAGACACAGAAGCTCCATCTCCATTTCCAGGCTCTCAATCACTGTGGCCACCTTCAATGAGCGATCATGCACACTTAGTTTTGCCTGGACATAGCGTGCCTGAGGACAACACAAGATAAAAATGGCCACTGCAACTCAAAGCAAGAGTGTTTACATTTCTGAGGAACACAGAATTTAATGGGATATAAACTCAGAATTATCTATCATCTTGGGAGGCCTCTCAATAGTACCCTTTGTACATTACCCATGTAATGCTAAAATAGGTCTTTCCTAGGAGCTCCCATAACTTTGGATGCTTGTAAATTTATTGCATGCATCTGGCACTATGATGCAGTTACCAGACATATATATGCACACAAACAGCTTCTCCTACATTCACAAAATTTGCAAGTGTCAATTCAGGTGGAAACTTCATACAGACTACAGGTCTACACTGTCACTTTACCAAGTTATGAACAAATGTAAGAGAGTCCCAAACAATTCAACCTTCTTTAGGATTTTGCTTGGTTGGGGCAGATTGGTCAGTCAGCTAAATCATCTAGGGTCCTAGCTAACAAATCCACAAAGAACAACCTTAAGCTCCCATGCTGGACACTTCAAGTACCCATAGGTTTGTCAATGTCAGGATACAAAATTAAAAATGTAGAAATATCAGTACAAGTTTTTTCAACAAGTATGAGCTTCACTCAGCAGCATCAATCATTTTTTGTGTTAAATGTCAATGGCAACAATCTATAGGGAAGAAATTCTGGGCTTTAGCTCCTGTGGGATCAATGCTTAGAAGGGAAAACTTTATGTGGATTGTTGATACAATAAATAGGATCAGCTGATTAAGACTGCAAGATAGATAGGATGGTGATTGTGACATAAGGACGGTGGAGATGAGAACATATTAAAATGAGAACTCTGGACATCACTAAGTAATGTTTTAAGAAAAACTTACTTCAAAATCTTGGTACTGCTCCTCAGTCAGGGACTTCTTGGCTACAACAAGAACCCTCAGGCCTTCCCTTGCCATGTTACCACACTGGAAAGAAGTTTCACATTGTAAACAATCAACTGTACCATAATTGCAGTAGGTTTCAGAAACTGAAATAAGATATTTTATTATTAGAGCATAATCATCTCAGTTGTATGATCCAGCTGAATCAATAACATTGGATCAAGTGCATTATAAAATTTGTCTGTAATCTGTACAAGCAATCTGGTATGATGATCCTCTTACAGAGGTATCCAACTAACATAAGCAACTCCATTGATCTCACATTTCCCAAAGGCTAAGTACAGACAGTCAAAAAGCCTGCAGCTGAACTGGTTCAATCTTTCTAGGTTTGTCTAAGCTGCATAGATTGAACCGATAAGCAAGTGAACAGACATTCACTTTTGATTCTGGAAATGCAGCCACACGTCTGCAGTGGCCCAGATCAGGAGCCAGGGGTACTATAGCATGCCTCCCTGCTCCGCTAGAGCAGACAGCTGGGCCAAAAGGCTAGCCCACCCACCCTATGGGGTGGGGGGAGGTTTGTGGGAGAGGTACAAAGCATCCTGGGATGCTGGGAGACTGAGTTAACTTGAAGCTGGAGGGGATCTGTGACAGAGGTTCAATAAACTGATTTAACCTAAATCAGTTAAGCCTGATACTACATCCATTCAGGTTTATCTTAAGCAACTTTTGAAATAACCAAAAACTAGTTTATGTGTACTGAACTTCTGTTGAACTACAGATTTGAACCTGTTTCCAATCACTTATTTCGGTTTGTGTGTGGTTTCTATCTCTAGCCAGTTAAATGAAAAGCAAGCCCAGTGATTCCACAAGAGATACTGCTTTATTCTTATATGCAGCAAGCAAAGAAAAGCCCCCAAAAAGAATAGTTTGAATTCTATAGCTGAGTTTATGTCACCATCACAATGAAAAAGATGCATCTAAGCCAGGTAGAGACAGACTGAAGATCAAAATGTGATTTTTCTAAAAAATATTACAGACTCAGTAGCTTAAAATAAAGCCAAGTAATGAATCAGACCAAGGATAAAGACTACAAGAATCAGGAATTACTAAAGAAAGAAACCTGGACCAATTTAGACAAGATACATTTTGTTTATGAGACTTATCCTGGATTAAGAGAGGCAGAATTCACTACTTGGCTTCTATTTAGATGTTGTGTCTGCCATCTCTGGCTGAAGGATAATTCAAACAATGTGACGAAGTAATTTTTTTTTCCTGTGTCCATTTTAAGAGCTGCCAGAGTCTGCTACATTAGCATAACGTAAGAGGTATCACCACATGTCATTTCGCTTGCAAGGTCCTTTATATCCAAGTAAGACAGTACTTCGTACCTCTTCCTCCAGCCAGTCGTTGTATTGCACGATGCCTGCCATAACTACATCCGCTCCCTTCATGTAGAAAGTGATTTCACCTGTTGACTCATCCTGAAAAAACCAAAACAAAACAGGCAGAGACCTTGCATTTGTAATGTTTCCATGGCTCCAGGACTCTTGCTTAAAAGTTGTTCTTCAAACCAGTCAATTATAGTCCCATTGTCAACAAGCAGAGAGCAAATACTTCATAGAAGAATTATCTGCTTTCTGGTTAGCAGGTGATCTTAACTCAAAATGAGGGTGGGGTTGACTTTACACCATACTACATGGAAACAGTGTCCCTCTTCCTAAACGTTTGTGGCTTTAACATAGCTATTAAACCAGTACATTTGCTTTCAGCATGGAAATCAACATGATCATTTACATTTAACTGGGAAAATTAAGTAAGTAAATAGCTACACAGAATTTCATAGAGCAAATTCAAATGCATGTTACCTTTCCTAGTGTAATATTATCAATAATAAGCAAAATTAAAACTCATGCCTGCCATAGAAGATGGGCTGCTGCCTTCCATAGATGATACCTTACAGTTTTGATGAAATAAGCTGTTGTCTACAAAAGTTTATGCCTTTGTGAACGAGCTAGTCGCTAAGTCACCACCGTGCCCTGCCTCTTGCCTGACTTCAAGCTAAGATGACTAACTACTTCTCCCAATAAGCAATGAGGAAAAATGTAATTCACTCTCTCCAATGTACATTAAATGAAGCAAATTGCCTTGAATTCTAGCACTGCAGAAGCCAGTGATGGCAGGTCTCAGGAGAGGGACCTGAATAAGCAAGTGAGGGCTTGGAGTACTGGGGCACGGTGGAGAAGGTATTTATTTCTAAACCACTGAGATAGCACAGAAGTAACAGTTACAGTGGGGCCAGAATGAGAACGAATAGTCTCTTTTTTTCTGATGCAATTCAGCATGAAGACAGCATCCAGCCCCTCTGATTCAACTTCCTCAGGTTCTTGTGCTTGAAGATTTTTGCCTCGACCTTTTAGAGACAACTTTACTGGGAAGACAGGAGACATGATTGTTCTTACAGGTGCTTTGCAATCTATTCCCATTGAGCACTGTTTAGTGTCTCCATGTTAATATTCACAGGCAATGCATTTCAGAGTCCAAATTACAGCTTTACCAAAGAAAACCCATAGTATTCTTAATTCAAAAGTTAAGTTTTCTGGCACTGGCAAAAGGTAGAGGCTTATATATTATTTGAGTTAAAAACAGTGTCCAAAAGCATCTCCATAGGAAACAGAATAAAGACTGCACTTCCTGTACTATAGAACTGGCTTAAGATAGTTTAGAATTTTTGTCCAATATAAATACTGTATCAACTATCTCCTTGTATTAGTCATTTCCTCCCACCGAGTTCAATAAGAGGTTAGCGCGTTCTCATATCATGGTAAGATCACATTATAAATCTACACAGAGATTTGCCAGTTGTATTGTTTTGAAGCTGCATCTTTTTCCATCGTGGTCTGATTCTGGCTATAGTTCAAAGTCCTCTTTCAAATCCAGATATGACAATAGCACTATCTTTGTTGCAAAAGCAAACATCATTCCACATGTGTGGGGGAAGCGAGTGGGGGAAGAGTGGAAAAATTTGTAGTCAATAAACAAATAACTAACTCAACCCCCACCCCCTTTAGAGAAGGATAAGCCAGTAAAAGAGTATTGGGGTGTGGGGGAAAGCATGGCTGCTTTGTTAAAACTAGACTGCTAACAACTGGAATAGTAAGCCACTAAACAATGACAGCTGATCGTGTGCAATGAGTCAATATTGCCAAATTGTCTCAACTCAAGAAACATCTGCTACTTGTTCTGGATATGAACGGATTGCTTAGATCTTATTTGCTAAACAGTTTACAACAGACAAATCAGATAGGATGAGTATAAGAGATGGACATCTCTGCAAAGAAGTTTGAAAATAATATTACTGGTGTTAAAGGACTCTTTGGTTGAAATCCTAGGCCCCGCCTAGATAAGTGGTCAGCAACATTTTCTGGAGGCAGCCCAGAAGGACCCAGCTGGGGTCCAAGGTGCTAGGGCCTGGCTGCCATTTCTCCATGTTGTAAAACTCCAGTGAAATACAAGCAAAGTTCCCCTGATGCTGAATGTTACCAAAATCTAATCAGCTCCATAGGCCAGATTCAATGGCTTTGTGGCTCATAGTTTGCTGAGCCCTGGACTAGAGGGTTTTAATAATTCCTTCTGGCCTTAGTACTAGGAGGCCTATAACAACTGCTGAGAACAAACAGTACAGCTATATTTAAAGAAAATTCTTAGATCTTAATTTATGCTAATTTGGATATTTTTCAGAAGCCTGACTGGCATCTTAACCTTCCAGGAAAATGATACAATTGTTTTTCCACTGTTTCTTCAAAAGCTACTCTTCCTGGCCCTCAACATGTATAGGTTTTACTTATAGGTAGAACCCAGGATTGTTCAACACATCTGATGGCTTGTGGGGCAAAAACATAGGATTCATGCACCTGTACACAGGCGGTAGAAGGCCAGGCTAATAGGGCTTAGCCCCGCAAACTAACTTTGTGGCGGCTGGTGACAGCAGCAGCACGACAGCACTGCCATCCCACAGCGCCACTGCCACGCCATGCCCCACCGCCACTCCAAGTATCCCTACCACGTGCCCCTCTGACACTGCTGCGTACATTGACAAGCTGTCACTGAGATAAGCCAAACCCATTTTATTTGGAGTAGGTCACCAAACCTTGATGAAATTTGAGTTGATGACTGCTGCCCACCACTATAATAGAAGAGACGTAGTAAAAAATGAGCGGAAGATGCTGTTGAAAAAATTTTCTACTTAAAAAAAAAAAATTTGCCACATTATTTGATAGGAGTCTCAAATAGACCATTTAAATGGTATCAAGAGAATTCAACTCATCTTTTTACAGTCTGTATAATTTTCCACTATCAAAATAAGTCTGCTGATGAAAAGGAATACAATACCAGCCATGTTTATGAACATGCATTGAATTTGTCATCTCAATTAGATGTAATATCCAATACTTACTGGAACAAAGGTACAATCTGTTTGAGCAAGCATATTAAACACATACATTGAGAAAACTATTGATCATCTTTGACTGCTTCACACACTCTACCCACTAGTTAACTCCTCCCCCACTCAAGCCACCACAAGGTAAAATACTCAACAAAGAGAAAACACTGATCACAAAGCAAAGACCTTTATTGTGAAGTAAATGAAGCAAGGTCAGCACTAGGCACCCATCTGGAGTTGATCTTGCCCAATTTATTTCATGGTAAAACTGAAGCGACCCATCTTTGTTGGATATTTTATCTCAGAACAGATCGTGTTGATCACAAACTGAAGACTGCCCTAGCCCTTCAGGGTTTCTGCAGTTAGCAACATCTGGCTGAAGAAAATATATTAATCAGGTTCAATAAGAAGTGATCACAGTACTTGAATGTAGACCATGTTTTAGACCATGATATGACTAGATAAGAGATAATGCAAAATTCTTTATGCAGTATGTCACTGTTGAGACTTAACATGTTGTATTTGCTTATTCAATTCAGTTCCGTAAGAGATGCATGAAGAATGACAAGTCACATGTGCAACTTACCCGAACAATGATTCCCATACGTTTACTCTCATAAGTGAATGGAAAGATTTGGAGGATGGTGAAGTTTAGTATCTGCCCACCAGGTGTCCTCAGTTGCATGGAGGACTGATCTCTGCCAACCAAAGTTAAGCCTACACTTTCTGTCCACTGTACGAGGGCCACCTAAACACAAGAAGGGTCGTAGGTCAGATAGCCTGCTGAGCTTTGCAGTTCAAAGGTCATGTAAATGAACACCAGAAGGGAAGGGAGAGTGGGTTAACTGAAGAAAAAAGTTACTCAGTCATTAATGTCACTGTAAAATGGATCAGTTTATCTACTTTGGCCATGTAATATAAACAAATGGCCCTTGAATATTATTTTCTGAGGCCAGTTCCATCTAGTGACAATATTGTCTGGCTTTGGTAGACCCTGCTAAAAGTCTAGCAATGCACAGTAGGTATAACAGTGTTCCCAACCAGCCAACGATGTTGAAATATCTCTCTCTGTAGTAGAAATATATGGCCTTCATTTCCCCCTGACTGAATTGCAACCCGCGCGCGCGCACACACACACACACACACAGAGTGGATATTAGTGCACACAATCAAAGAGAACGCGATGAAACAAGATCTGCAATGCTGAAGCCAGTGGGGGCAGCATTAGGTCTGCAATGACTGGTATTTAAATCGTGAAATGAAAGGGGATTCAATGAAAGTTCATTAGTGAGGTTAGGCCTAATTATTGTGCACTAGGCATTAGGCTAAAATGTGAAGGGATGCAACAACTGTTGTAAACAGAGCTGAGCAGAAGAAAGCTCCCAAGGGATGAGCACAAAAGTCAGCTTCAGCCTTTTGCAGCAGGACCTCCCCTTGAGATGAGTCAGCACAGTAACAACAGGCTACTTCCACGTGACCAGGATGGTTTCAGATGGAACTAGTGTATGAAGTCTATATTGCACATATTAGTAATTGCTCCCCTCCTGTCCCTGTCTCCTTTTAAAAATACCTTCATGACCCAAGCAAACCCACCCCCAAAAAAACCAAACCTGGCAACAAAAACCCCAGAACAACAACCACCACCAATTTTGGCCTAAACCTGCATCAAATTATTTAATTCAAATTATTTAATTTCAGGCCAAGTTTTCTGCTAGTGTAACCTCATTTACTACAGTGTAGTTATACTATCAGGGAATATATAACCAGGTCATTTTAGTGGTGGCAATCTGAAACTCTTTATTCACTCGGCATGGAAAGATTTAGAATCCAAAGCACATGTAAAATATCTGAGAAGAAAAACTGCAGTATCTAGCCACTCTACTCAATAAATAAATAAAAACAAAGCCTTGGTGTCAGTGAATTTCTCACCTAATTTTTATACGCATCCATTAAGACCAAAGGCATCTAGAGCTGTACGTGAAAAGCTTTTACCTATCTTGATTCTGAAGCCATAAACCTCCTATTGACGGGCTGATTAGAGTTAAGAGTTTGGCAGAGACTGGTTTAATAATGATGTTTTTCTTTCTTCTAGAGTAACCACTTCTATAACCATGATTATTCCTGACATTTCATCTCTTGCACAGCAAGTGTATTTGCTGAATCCAAGTGCCCAGGACAAAGTATTTAATTTACTCCAAAAAGGGTTGAACTCTTTTATTCCTGTCTTCCAAGGAAGTCCACGAAAGAATGAAACACCACTTGAAATAATTAAGCCATGAGTCGATAGTCTCACTGTGAAATATGTGCTTTAACATCAGCAAGAACTGTGTATGCATACTGAAAAGAAAAGAGAAACCCTCATTTAAATCTGATACTCTTAACATAGTTACAGCTACAGCACAAGGTCTGATCAACAGTCTCCATCAAAATCAAAATCAACGGGCCCAGGATTAGATCACTGGATTTCCACCTAATGAGATATTGCATATCTAGATCTATTGCAGGGGCAGGTAATTATTAAAGGTGGAGGGCCGCTTAACAAGTTTTGGTGAGCTGTCTAGGGCCAAAAGGGTAGCCCCGCCCCTTGACAGGTGCCCCGCCCCCTGGTTACCATCTTGGGACCAGAATCCCTGCTCTCTGACCTTTGCCACCAGAAGTCCCTCCCCTTGCCCTCAAAAGTACTCCTGTGGGGAAGGGGGTTTGCCATCTTGGAACCGGAAAAAAAGCCAAAATTATATACTAAAAATCAAACATCCATAATAAAGTATTTTAATTTTATTTAAAAAAAATAATTGTCCTGATTTGTGCGTGTTTGCTGGTCAGCACCCACCCCAGCCCTGCAACAGCCCAGAGCCAGCACACCCTGCAGCACCTCCCCACTGCTGCCAGCAGCACGCAGCCCCAGCATGCAACACACCCGCTCCACGCTGCCTGACTGTGGCATGTCCTGCCTCCCCCTGGGTATGCAGTGGAGCTGGGGTGGGTCTGTGCTGGCACTGCCTTTCTAGGCAGCCCAGGCAGTGGCAACTCCTTCCGGCTGCTGCCACCGCTGGCCCCAGCCCCAAGGCACCAGCAGGGACCCACACCACAGCCCCAATCCGGTGCATCCTGCACCTGCTCCAGACTTGCTTGCCCAAACTGAGCAGTGGCAGTGGTGACCAGGCAGAAACTGTTGCTTGGCGCAGGGGAAAAGCAGCCCCTCCCCCTTGCCACTGCTGGTACTTTCTGGTTCAGCTGGCAGAGCCCGTGTCCTGCTGAGCTGCCCTGCAGCTCTGGTTGTGTCATAGCCACCTCGGGGCCACCCAGCAGAGCAGTGGTGAGTACAGAGCAGCCACTAGGCAGCCCAGAGGTGGTAGTGATGATGTTGGAGATGCAGGGCAGCCCAGCAGGGCTTGGGCTCTGCCCACTGCACCAGGAAGTGCTGGGAGCAGTGAGGGGGAGGGGCCACTTTTTCCCCGTGCTGAGCAACAGTTTCTGCCTGGCTGCTGCTGCTCAGCCTGGGCAGGCAAGTCCAGAGCAGGTGCAGGGTGCACCAGGTTGGGGCTGTGGTGCACGAGTATCGCGGGGCTGGGGCCAGTGGTGGTAGCAGCTAGAAAGAGCTGTCACCACCAGGGCTTCCTAGAAAGGCAGTCCCGCCACGGAGCTGCCCCAGCCCCGCTGTGTGCCCAGAGGCGGGAGGATGTGCCATGGGAGGACAGTGTCTGGGCTGGATGGGACCAAGGGACCCACTGCAGGCTAGACAAAGCCTCTCTGCAAGCCAGATCTGACTCGTGGACTGTATTTTGTCCACCCCTGATCTGTTGGCATGGCTCTCCATAGCAGGTGCAGGTTCTCATTAAGTTGAAAGGGGAGGGGGTTTTTTGTTTCTTTTTTTAAATAAATCTGTTTTAAGGAGTTAGACATTTGGCTGCAACCTCTGGTGCCAGTTTTGTGTTGCTGAAAAGTTTTCCTAGGGATATAGACCAGTACACTAGTGCAAGAAAGTACCAAACGGAAGACAAAACTCTTTAAACTGAGGTCACCTGACCCAATCCAGTGCTGAATTATCTTTGAAAGAGTAAGGAGTAAGCCTCTCCAAGTGTAAATTACATTGAGTAAGAAGTTATTGTTTTCCTCCATCCTTGGTAGCTCCTTGCTCAAGACAAACCTGCTCCCCTAGTGCCCAGTGGTGAGAGACAGTTGTAGTCACCTGGTCTAAGTACAGACAGTCAAAAAGTCTGAGGCTGAATTGATTCAATCTTTGCAGGTTAGTCTAAGCTGTGTAGACTGAACCAATAAGTGAACAGACATTCACTTTTGATTCTGGAAATGCAGCCACATGCTTGCAGTAGCCCAGGCCAGAAACCAGGGGATGCAAGAGCACACCTCCCTGCTCCACTGGAGCAGACAGGTTGGGTCAACACTAGCCTGCCCACCCTGTGAGGGATGTTTGCTGGGGAAGTGCAAAGCATCCTGGGATGCTGGAGGACTGTGAGTTAACTTGAATCTGGAGGGTATCTAGGACAGAAATTCAATAAACTGATTTAACCTAAATCAGTTAAGTTTGATACTACATCCATCCAGGTGCATCTTAAAGCAGTTGTGGCGACTTTGAAAGCAGTTTATGTGCACTGAACTTCTGTTGTGTTACAGATCTGAACTGGTTTCTGATCACTTATACAGGTTTATGTGTAACTTCTGTCCCTAGCCCTACTGTGAGAGCTACTCCAGGATAAAATCTATCCATTCCTAATCCCAGTGGAATTTACAATGGTATACACAGCCAGGGCAAATTACACCAGGATATACATACATCTGTCCATGCCTGTACCAGATTTGTAGCTTACTCGCCTTCATCAGGTGATTACAATGTGCTGTAAAAAACACTGAATGCACTTAATGATTTAGAGAGGGAATCTCAGTGTTTATTTTTTCCAAAATGATTGTAAACCCACACCTGGGAATCTGGGCAGCCAGGAGGTGGAAGATATTTAAAAAGTTGCTTCTTCTGTTCAATATTTCACATATTTCTGTGTACAGATTTTCTGGTCTCCCTACTCCTAAAGGCTGAATTCTTGACAGGCCAGTTCAGATTTTATTTATACAGAAAATTAGTATCTAGTGACCTTCCAGTTTTACCTTCTGCTGTACCTCATTCCTTTACTCTGTGCCACCAATGCATATTTTTCTGACTGTGACCCTCACGGGGTCTTACCAAAGGAAGGAAATGAAATCCCTCTCTGTTTTCCTGCCACAACTTGATGATACACAAAAAGAAATTATACAAATGGGAGGCTCCAATAATGGGTAAGTCCCCTTAAATATGGGGTTCTCCCTTTTAGTGCGTTTGTGAGTCTCTACCTCCCCTACACCTCTTCCACACACCAACTGGGTTGTAATCCAAGTGGTATTCACCCGAACAGTATTTAGCAATGTGGCCTGCCATCTTCTGTATTAGGGCAAAGGCAGGCGTGTCAGTCCAACTAATTAAATAATAATGACTAGGTGTTCACTGTCTTAGTCCAAGGTCAGTACTGGCTCAAATCAATGAAATCAAATTATTGGCATATATCCATGCCTGACCCCAACATCAGGCCTTTCAGTACACTCAAGAAGAAAAAAAAAGAAAATTAAACTATGGCAATTAAATTTGCTGTCTCATGTTGCCAGATATCTGGCACTTCGTGAGATTCTAACTCGCGTATCCCATCTGGATGCTTGTCCAGCTGTCTGCGAATCCCCAGTTGTCGGCATTC